ACTCCTTTTGCCGTAATTGTTATATCTATGGAATGTTTCCACTGACGCCACCTGGAAGCTCATGTAGTTGGATTGCCATCAACATTAAAATGATTTAATTCCTGATTGGTAAAATCAAGATGAATCATACTTAAACTGTACTCGTCCTCGTCGCCAAATTGTCATGTATTTGCCCTTTGAAACACAGTATGCATGGGGTACAACACAAGCACAAAAGATACAGCCTCACAACATATTGCGATCACAGATTACTAATGGTGGACCAACTCTTTATTAAACAATAGTATATATAGGCGTTGTCAAGCCTCAGTGAACACATAGAATACAAGTGTCAAGTATAAAACCATGGCTAATGATCTTTGTGATGGTGTACCTAGTCTGTCTAAGAAAATTAAAAACTTTTTTCAGTCTTTCACTATAAACTTTAAACCTCTCAAACCAAAGGGTGCAGGTGACAGTAACACTGTTCTGCCTTCTCATATAATTATTCCTCCTGAGACAATTGGAGCTAAATTTAAATTAAGCCTAATCCTTAAAAAATCATTGCAATCAACCTGAAATGAAGACGGAACTCAAAGCAAGTTTCTACGATGGCTGACTTTTTTTCAGTAGATGTTTAATTCAGATTTGATGTCCTAGAGCAGCTTAGCTTTGGATGAGAGCAGCTTAGATCTGTCGGCTAATCTGGTGGTAGCCACTGTGTGTGCGCTGAACCGTGGAGATCTCTATGTCTCCGGTTCAATTCCATAGCTAGAGGGCTGAAATACAAGTGACGATTAAGCACCGTCTTTCGGATGAGGCGTTAGCCGTAAGTGCATTATGGCCCATGTGCACTTTGAAGAACGCAGTACACTCTTCGGAAAAGAGTAGGGATTGTCAAAACAAAAACATATTGCTAATTAATGAGGAAATTTGTAGAAAATGAAATTAAAATTTGTTAGATTTGACTCTAAAACAAACCCACGAGGGTTTCTTATTTGTTTATTTGTCTGGAATGTTGCGTTCTGTGTGCATGGCCTACTAATGTGTGAGATTATCATCATCGTTTTGTGGTACATACATTGATAAGCATGTGATTGATTAATCTTATTTTTAATTTGGGGAGCATTGGCAGTCTCGCTCTTTGTCCTCATTAAATAAACAAGCCTTAAAACTAGGTTTGGTCCTGTAATTTTCCCTCATCCTCTATGCAATACAATACAATATTTATTGGATTACACTTTCATAACAGTGGCACACGTTAGACAAAACCTAATGGTGCATCCAAAAAGAACAAAAAGTAAGCAACAAAAATATATAATGAAATTCTTAACTATAATTTATTTGCACATTACTCAAACTACATTTTGCCACCCGCCAATCAAATTAACACTTAAAATCAACTACAGTAGAACCTCGTTTTTACGTACCCCAGTTATACGAACCCTCTGTTTTACGTACGCCTCGTATGGACGATGACGTCATCAAAAACCCCGAAAATATTCAAAACAAACGGCCCTTTTGAGAGCAACCATAGTAAAAAGAATATAACAATAAACTATAACAATAAACAAACCATAATGCAACGTATTTTCATTAAACAGCAACGTTGATTCAGTCTAATACCTGGTTGTTATAATCTAAAACCACGTGAACTGAGTGAGATGAACAACTACCGATGGTGCTCAAAATTATTGCTTTCCTCCTTAGCTTCGTGGGGCAAACCATGGAAGAACTTCGTCTGGTCGAATTTTCTACACGAAGCCTGTCTCTTATACACATCTATGGTATATTATTTATTTAATAA